CGTACTACTAGGCTCCTCTCCCCTTTACTCTAAAGGATAGTAGATAAACACTAACTAAGATAGTAGTTATAATAGCTTTAAGTGGTAAAAAGAAAGCTTCTCAAACCCGTAAGGCAAAGAGGCTAGCTAGACTAGTTAAGCCTATCTATATCACGCTAGAAGAACGCTAACTATTAACTGATAATAATCGGTCGATATTCCTATCTATTATTCGTACTACGGGACTAAAAAGCCCCGTATATACCTAGGTAATTCGGCAGACTATACGAAAACTTTCAGCTACTATAAAGGAAATTAAACGAGTATTAGAATATACTAGCGGGTTTATAGTAATATATAAGATAATAGAAGCCCGGGATACCGTATTAACTACGCTAGAGAGCGCTACTATTCTCTATAAAAGTAAATACATAGCCGTTAGTATAATAAACTACGGCATACGTTTGAATAAACATAAAGGCAACTCTGTTTAGTACGTACGCTTACTATATACTATAACCCCGTACGAAGTGGTGTATAATATCTTCCTCCGGTATATTCTTACTGTAGGGAAAGCCTTAGAAAAAGATTATATAATACGACTACTAAGGATAGGAGGGCTTCCTAGTAATACTATTACTATTATAGAGTAAGTACTAGATAATAGTTACTAGGTCTAAGATAAGCTAATAGTTATAGGACAGAGGAGGCGCTAGACTAGCCTAGTAAGACGACGTAGGTAAAAGGTATAAATATCCTGTTTTACGAGCAAGAAAAGAATTACCGCCTATACCGGGGCCCTTATACCGTAACCGACTATAAGGACTAGGCCGCCACAAATAAACTAAGAGGAAGCACAGATATATTTACGAAAGATAACTACTAAGAAAATATCCCTAAAAGAATTAATAAATTCCTCGGTAAGGTTAACTCTCCGGAGAAGCTCGCCGACACTATCAGGAAGGACACCTTCTAGCTATATATTAGGACTCGGAACCTCCTTATCTTCTAAGGCAACAACGACGAATCCTAGAAAGTCGTAGAGCCAGCTACTATAACCGCGCGCGCAGATACGGCTTTGGAGTGGTTCTGATAGCCGGTCATATAACCCCCTTTTCAAGGCTGCGGGATCTACCTCCTATATATATATTAAGGACAGGCTTAGGATATCCCTATCGAGGGACTATTATTCAATTATAATCCTCTTTTATAACTACTTATTCTACGTTTAAGGTATCTTTCCAGTTTAACTTACGTTACCCTGATCAGAACAGTGACTACCGATCTACTTCTTTGCTAAAGGTTATAGTATTATTGGTTATATTTTGGTTATGCATCGTGGTTTAGCTAGACTAACCTCTTTGTCTGATCTTTATCTTAACGATCTCGTGCCACTACGTCTTTATCTGGTTATACTACTAAGAAAAGGGAAAAAAGCGTAAAGGAAAAGGAGGATATATAGATAAGGAGGAAGTAGAGGAGTTAGGTAATAAAGACTAACCTATAGAGGTAGTAAAGGACTATAAAGACTCTAAAGAAGAGGAATAGGAGGAGGCCGGTAAAGGCCGGGTATATAGATAGTACGTTATACGAATATACATATAATATATAATAGAACTAACAGAAAATCTAGTAATAATAAGCGTAGTTAATATCAAGGGGCTTAATAGCCCCGAAAAGATACGTAAGCTTCTTAGGTAAGCGATGGAGAAAAGAATAGACCTATTAGTCTTATACGTGTTATACTTAACTAATACTAAGGTAAGTAAACTTCGTAAACACTATCCCTATATCGGCTGGTTTACAAATTATAACCTTAATAATTAAGGGGTATTATAATAGTAGCCTTATAGCTAAGAATAAAAGGCCTAAGCTAAGTAGAAGAGGCATTATCCGAGGGACCTTACTACTAAAACCTAGGTATCTCCTAGAGGAACGTGAACCCGTAGATAACAGAACCAGTAATCTTCTAGCGAGATACTGAAAGCCGATAACTATTCGTAGAGCTATTACTTAAGGTAAAGGATACTCGAATCTTAGGAGTATATACCCCTAATACTAGCATAGAGGCGGTGAAATTCTTTAAGGCCTTAAAGATATTAAGAGAAAGGCTTAGACCTAATATAATCTTAGGTGAGTTTAATAAAACTATATAGCCTATAGATAGGAACCCCGTATAAAGGGAGGAACCTAGGGTATATAGGGCTTTATACGAGGCGAGTAAAGAAATAATAGATAGGTAAAGATATATAAATAAGGAAAGAAGATAGTATATCTATTAGGCAGATAACGAATATAGCTTAGCTAGTCAAATCGATGATATCTATACTACTCCGAGGTTCGACCGTATAACCTTAAACTAATAGATCGTTTCTAAGAAGATTTAGTTAGATTATATAATAGTTTTTATAAAAGTATACGCTAATTAATATATAGATATAGGGAAGGGTCCCTAAAGGCTTAGCCGGAACCTATTAAAATACAAGGTGATATATAAAGCTATAAAAGGCCTGTATTATTAGATATTCTTCATGGAGAGTAAAACGTATTAGGAAGCGGCGGCTAGCTATATATTACTCCGCGCGTGTTTCGGTCTTAGCTAAACAAATCTCTCCCGTCTAGGGTTACTATACTTTATTAAGGCCTCTTAGATTATACCCTATTGGTATATCCGCGGGTATTTATCGTATACCGAAGTACTATACCGTATTATAAGTGAATTCTATAAGGGGTAATCGGTCTATTTAATTGTCTTATTCCTATAAGCAGAAGACTCTAAGGTAGTATTCTATATTCTGGTTTTTTCTCTTTATCTAGCTATCTGTCTACGAGTACTATAACGTAGATAAGCGTTATAATACGCCCTAGATTCCACCGGGAACACCAGGGCGTATCACGGGGTACCCTAGCGATTCTATAGTATAAGCAATAGCACCTATAGGGTATACTATAGGTACCTTTGGGGTATACCATGGCTTCCCTAGGGTATAATTAGTAAATACCGGGGAATCCCCCGGGTTCCTATACGTAGAAGCCGAGGATTCCACGGGGTTTAAACGTGGAATACTTAAGTCCTAGGGGCGCGCCCCCCTTAGCTTAGAGAAGATATCTTTATTATACTATAGTTACTATAGTAAAGGTTACCCCTTAAATCCTGGGTTCCCTAGGTCTGATAGTGCTAGCTGGCTAGAGTCGTGCCCGGATAGGGTATATTAAAGCCTAGATTCTTTTAGGTCCTATAGTACTAGCTAGCTAGAGATTTGCCTAGTTAGAGCTTATTACGTTATTTAGTTCCGAAGTAGCGGTAAATAGTAGTCTAAAGATAGCTTATAAATAAGGACCCTCCGTCTAAAATAATACTATTAGGAACCCTAAAGGTTCGGAAAATAGAATACTATAATATATTCGCGAGTCTCTTAGTAGTAAGGCTACTACTTATAAGGATATATAATAAGTACTTTATTAGATAATAAACAATAATAAGAATAGCGTTATATTTCCTGCCTTTATTATAGATAAGCGGTAATCCTATAATGAACTTAATCGAAATCTCTGCGAAAAGACGTTTTAGAGTAGGAAAGTGTTAAATGGGTAGTCGTAAAGAGTGAAAAGGTAGGGTTAAGTAAGGAACTAGGTGGGATTATAATAGGATTATAATAGGGAAAGTGTAGGTGTAGTTAAAGAGTTAGATTAATCGCTGGCCTCCCTCCTTAAAGGGGAGGCTCCTCCGCTCCTTAAGTCTACGCCCCACTGCTTTCTATTACTCCTTAAAGACTGCTTGTTTGCTTCCTTAAGGGCTGCTTTGTTTGCTTCGAGAGACTATTCTGTTTGCTTATGTGATGACTGCCTTGTTTATGCCTCGAGGGGTCTTAGACTGGGCACGCCTGGACCCCTATGGGTCCACACTAGGGACTTATTATGACCACTGCTACAGGCACCTAATAGAAAGCCCGTATAAGGTATAATACCGCGGTTTTATTCGTTAGTATATATAGGTAGATATATATTATCTAATATCTTAAATGAGATAGTCCTAAACGTAAAAGTCCGAAATACGTATTACGGTTCGCGTAATCTTATAGTATCCTACGCTAGGTTTATCTCTTAGTTTAGAGCTTAGTCTATATATAATAGCTCTTGATTATATACAGTTCTTTATTAAATCTAAGCTATTTAAATTATAATAATAAATCGTTTATATAATATTATAGTAGTAAGAATAATCAGACTAGGTAGGTTCCAGGTAGGGACAGGCGCTATATCTTAAAACCATGGCCAACGCTGAATCAATTATTAAGCAGCTACCGATTATTAATCTATCTAGATTCCCATCGTCGACTCCTTGCCCTCTATATTAACAGTCAATACCTTAGTCAAACAGTCAAGCGTTCAAACAATCAAATCGTCAAACGGCAAATCGTTAAAGGGGCAAACCGTCAATTTATCATGGGCTTTGCCATCGTGTGAGTAGGATCGAGAGGAGCAAGCACATTGCACGCCAACACCAAAAAGCAGAGGTCGTACGTCGGTGCGATCAAAGGCGTAAGCGCAATAATAATAACAAGGCAAACAAGGTGAAGAGGAGGTGATGGCCGCCCGCGAGGATCACGTAGCGTAAGGTAAAAGACCGTAGAAGAGGTCGCGGAGGAATGTCGCTAGCGGTAATTCCTACACAAAACGATCCCGCGGGAAGATGGGATTGGTCAAATACTGGAGTTGGCAGTTACTGCGCAGATGGATGAATTATTACCCACTATGGATGGATTGATTGTTAGGAATGGCGATTATCGCAGTTGTCACACCTAGACCCTGTCGGAATATCCCCATCTTGAATTATTAATTCTATAATTATATGATAGCAGCTAAGTAGGTAGGTATTACAATCTGGTTTGCCGACAATCATCGCCCAGGACCATGTGTCAAAGAAACATAAAAACTAAAGATAGATAGGAGGAGTGAATAGGCAATACAGAGAAGAAAATACAAAGGTGAATACAAAATGTAAAGGACCATGTAAGGCATTACAATGCTCTCTTGAGATCCTCAATTTCCTCCCTAAGCCTTTGCAATTTAAACCTCAATTCGTTCTCCTCTGTACTGCGGTATCGAACATCGTTTTCCATACTTTGACAGAGCTTGTCGAGGGTCACAAGCTTCTTGTCACGAGTCTGTATCTTATTGTTATCAGGCGAAACAGACTCCGTCACGTCTTCGACGGATGGCCTCGCCACCGCGGTCGTCTGAGCTCGACCCCGTTTACCTCGAGGTGTCGAGGCTGCACTGGGTGCATTTTTGACGTTGGCGGCAGATGAATCTTCCTGGGTAGGAAGATGCTGACCGGGAGATGATGGCTTGATTTGCCCTGGCTGCTGACTGCTGGGTTGCGAACATTCACCTGGGTAGTGGCTTTCTGCCTCGGAGATCTTTCTCTTCTTAGCCCTCGGTTTAGATGGCGTCACAGCGTTGCTCATGGAACTGTCTTCCTGCGTCGACGGTTCGGCAGGCTTGCTAAACGAGGACTTGCGCTTCCGATCCTTGCCCGACTTGCGCACGGCACTACTCTTTCCCAACTTTGGAATTGTCGAGCTCCTGGGGGGCGTTACGGCCGTGCTGGGCTTAGGAGTCGGTCGTGTAGCTCCTCCTTCGCGAACAGGCTGAGAAATATTGGCCTGCTCAGTGGACAGCTCCACATCGGAGCCAGCCAAGAGAACCGCCACGGTGGAATTCTGACCTTCCTCTTGACTACCGGGTTCATTCAGGTCATAAGGTTCCCCGACTCCGCAGGAGGATGGGATTTCGACCACCAAGGACGCCCGAGAATTGGAAGCGACATTTTTACCCTTAGAGTTCTTTCCCTTCGAATTTCTTTCCGGACGCGATTCCTCAATGGCCCAGCTGTCGTGCGACTCGGGGGTGTGAATACGTGGAGTCGGGAGTACGGCAGAACTCAAGTGACATGGATCATGTGATTGCAGCTCTGGTGCATTAGGGAGACAGGCTATGCGCCACAGGACCACGGCCTGGTCCAGAGCGTAGACGATATGTATTGTCGTTAGAGGACAAGTGTCATTTTCCGATTTCGTCTCGTCCGACTCAATTATTCGGTATGCGTTTCGCAAAACTCCATGGAACTGCTCCCCGGAATCCCATATCTTCCGCAAGGGTCGATGCAACAAGAGGAATACCGTCGTTAGTTTGGTCATGAAGTAAACGAGGTCCCGCGCGTTAGGGTCCTTTGGACGAAACTTCTCCTCTGGCCAAAAGACACCTGGACCCCAGAAATCCCAGTTCTCCCGGAGAAACTCCAGGCGTGATTCGTGGGAGATGAGTTGGAAGGACGTGTGTATATGACTAAGAGTCATGTTGTCATAATCTTCGCTCCTGGGATGGAGAAATAAAATTGGAGGTAAATCTGGCAGGGAAAGAACACAAATATGTAGGGGATATATGTTGTGTTGCCAGTATCAGCACAAGCCTGCAAAACTTGTGTTAGTGTGACCTGGAAACACAAACCGGAGTCTTAAGCGAAGCATTTTGGACTTTACAGTACGTACCTGGAGCACTGAATAAGGCAGATCAACAGAAGCAGACCAGTACAGACAGGCCAACAAATGAAAAGCAGGACTTGATGCCACGTAAGTAGTTCCGTACGGAGGTCGGTGGTGCAGACTAGCAGTGATTACGGAGATATGGGTTGAGAGAGCGTGGGCAAGTGTAAACGAGAGAAGAGTCGACGTTTCTAGGAAAGATAGATAGCAGAAAATGACCGGCAGAATATATCAAGAACAGCAGACTGGGTTCGAAGATGCAAAAATAGGGAGACCAGAAGAGACCAGAACAGACTAGAAAAGAAGCATATAAGATTATGGGAAGATGGAAGACAGACGGCGACAACGACCAGTATACTCGATATAAATACTTTCACCAAACCCGTGGAGGGATTGAAAACTCCCAGTCCCATTGCCCCTGTCGACCAATCTTGTGCTGGTAACATAAGTGAGCAGTACAAAATACCCTGTCCTGTTCACGACATGGGGAATAACAAGCCATGATGCCTGCTTCGTAGCTTCACCGACGAGGACCCCGACTCCTTCAAGAGTCCCAATGACGGAGAGCCACATTAATAAAAAGAATAATAGCCACAGCTGGGATCATAATTTCCACATCATCTCCCTCTGACTCAGGCGTTTCCATTTTCTTCTCGGTTGCGTCAGGCTTCCCTTTCTTTGCGTACCTACCCGGTTTTGGCCAAACTGTCGTAAGACTTAGAGCCCTCATGTTAAGAGCTGTACCTCTGACCCGGCTCTGGTCCGAGGTAAATTCTCTGTTCGACCTCTGACCTACCCTCCTCCCCCCTCTCCTAATGTCACATATGCCATGTGAGCACCACCTGCGAACTTGGATTCCACCCATTTTTGACGGTTATCTCGAGACTCGAAGATTGTCCGGCTTCGTGATGCATGTGTTTCGTCCAGCATTGTTGAATATCAAGGTTTGATTTCCTTTCTTTTCCACGCTTTCGAGCGGGGTCCTAACCTGGGTCAGAATATTAGGAAGGGAAGCTGGTGATACTCTCTCGTGAGATACGTCTTTGCTTTTTTCACTTTTATTTTTTCTTCACTTTTTTTTGCTTAGAAGGCTCCACAGAAAATATATCACGTGGTTGTTCCTAAATAAGCCGTGCAAATATTCGTCTCACACTAACAGGACCGTAAGAAATGCCAGGTTCGGACTGTGTAAGACTTCTCCCAAGCGAAGTCGTAATATCTTCGTAACTCGTACCCGTACCCTTCCTCTTATCCTTATCATACAGTAACCAATAGGAGGAGTCTAGAGAAGAAGCCAGGCCCCTCGTCCTAAGTAAGGACTAACGTCCGTACCCTAATACCAAAGTGGAAAGCTAAGGGCCGTCCGTGCAGGAACGTTACATCAGGACACCTACAGCCCCCCATTTTTCCTCTACAGTGACTAGTCGGTTGGCTACGCCCCTTGACCATTTCCCCATCTCCCCAACTCGGTTAATTCTGTCCTTTGCCTTCTCTTGTGGTTTATCTTCTCTTTTCCTTTACTTTGTGTTCCCCTTTTTTCTTTTTTCTTTTTTCTTTCTTCTTTCCTTATCTTTTTCTAATTACTCTTTACTGGAGATTCATTTCGGCCAGGCCCGTTACCTACCTTATCCTGGCTTCCTCTGTCAATTTTCTTGGCTCTCCTGAGCACTAATCAACCACCTAATTTGCGAACCCTCACGGGCCATAGCCTGGCACCGACGAAGCCGCAGTTCCTTATCCACGTGGACAGACTACAGCTATTGGTGATCTCTGCCGTGTCCTCAATTTCCCACGCTCCCCAACAGAATGCCCCTGTCACGATAGTCGTGCTGGTATTGGATCCTTTGTCCCCCCACGCCCCGGTCCCCCGGTCCGTCTCAACATGTCTTACCCCAACGCTCCGGGTCATGATGCCGGCCTGGGTCGCAATTTTCCATCTCACCAGGGTATCCAACCATCACCTGACCCTCAGGTCCCAGCTAATATTGAGATCGACAAGGTTGAACGCGCAAGTTCTATCGCCACATCCGCAGAACCGACCGGTGTCAATGACCAGTCACCTTTCCGTCGCCTGTCTCTGTCCAGGACAGGCCATATTTCCCTGGACGACGTCGAGCCAGTGGACGTCCACATTCGAGGGCTTTCCGTCACCGTTGACACCGCCCCCTCCTGGCTCGAGCCTTCGACTTACCCTGAGCTTGCAAGACAAAAGTTCCAACCCAGGCCCCAGTCCAAGAAATTGCTGCGAGATGTCAATGCGTCTCTCCCCCCCGGCACTCTCACCGCTATCATTGGAGGAAGCGGCTCGGGCAAGACCACCCTGCTCAACACCATGTCTGAGCGCACGATCAGCTCTCGTCTTTCGCAGGAGGGCCTCATCACCTTCAATGGCAACCCCGGCATCCACAGCGTGAGACACGCCTACGTCATGCAGCAGGACATTTTGCTCTCCGCTCTGACTGTCCGAGAAACTTTGCAATACTCTGCCAATCTGCGACTGCCACCGTCTACCACGCAGCAGGAACGTGCGCAGATAGTGGAAGAGGTGATTCTCGAACTCGGACTAAAGGAATGTGCCAATACGCGGATAGGGAACCACCAGCATCGTGGCTGCTCAGGAGGCGAGAGGCGCAGGGTCAGCATCGGCGTGCAGCTTCTAGCCAACCCTTCGGTCTTATTCCTAGACGAACCCACGACCGGCCTTGACGCGACAAGTGCTTTCCAGTTGGTCAGGACGCTGAAAAGCCTGGCAAGCAAGGGAAGGACCATCATCACCACTATCCATCAACCCCGATCCGAGATATGGGACCTTTTCGACAACCTTATTATTTTGGCCAGAGGGTGTCCCGTCTACTCGGGCAGAGCCAGCGAATGTGTGGCTTGGTTTGGGGCCTTGGGCTTCCAGCTTCCCCCATTTGTCAACCCCGCCGAACACCTGATCGACATAGCTGCCGTCGACAACCGAACGCCAGAACTTGAGGCGGAAAGCACCGCCAGAGTTGGGAGACTTCACGATGCTTGGTATGAGGAAAGCACAAAGTGTTTCCTTCCTCCAGAGAAGATTGCAGACCCATCATGTCGCCAACCTGCGAGCTCAGACGCGACTCGCCATGCCACCTACACTCGGCAACTGCGTATGTTAACGGACCGAACCTTCAAGGTCACCCATCGTGATCCCTTGGGCATGCTTGCCGCCATCCTCGAGGCCATCCTGATGGGTCTCGTCACTGGCTACATCTTCTTCGACCTGCCCCGAGACGACTCGGGCATACGGTCTCGACAAGGCGCGCTTTACACTGCTTCCGGGCTGCAGGGTTATCTCATCCTCATCTTCGAGATCTATCGGCTCAGCATTGACATGCCCACGTTCGACCGAGAACGCACAGAGAACTGCGTGGATGCAATCCCCTTCCTCCTTTCCCGCCGCCTCGCCCGACTGCCCACCGAAGACTTCCCGGTTCCGTTCCTCTTTTCGGTCATCTTCTACTTCATGGCCGGTTTCGACAGAGATGCCAATCAGTTCTTTATATTTTTTGCCATCACGCTTCTCAACCATTACATCGCCATGACATGTGCTATGGCATGCGTCACCGCCGTCAGACACTTCCCGGGCGCCAGTCTCCTCGCCAACTTGATATATACTATGCAGAGCATGGCCTGTGGCATGTTCGTTCAGTCGGAAAGCATTCCCGTTTATGTACGGTGGCTCAAGTATATCACATATACCGTAAGGCGCCCGTCCCTGAACGTTACAATGCAATTTTGGAGTCGTCGTTTGGTCGCTAACATTTCACAATTATCAAAGTACTATGTCTTCAGTGCCTACTGCGGGAATGAGTTTGAACGTGCTTTTTACAACTGCCCTCTCCCGGGCGGGCGATCCAACCCCGCTTGCAACCAATATACGGGAGAGTTCATCATGAAATCGCTCGGATTTCCTGACAACTGGGTCTGGCGACCAATTCTTGTCATGGTCGCCTTCGTCGTGTTCTTCTGCATCGTGTCATGGATTGGCCTTCAATTCATCCCTGTTAAGATGACTATTGCAAGAGCGAGGAACTCCGACACCGATCTGTCTGCGGGTAAAGAGAAACTGAGAGCCAAGGCCAATTCAGAGGTCCGCACAATCGACGTGGGACTGGACCATTTCACTTTGGACTTGCACAAGCGCTCGCCTCTCGCGAAAAAGTCGCCTGTCACGAGAATTCTAAACCCTGTCACCACCACCTTCCATGCAGGTGTCCTCAACATCATCATGGGCCCGTCCGGCAGCGGGAAGACGTCGTTACTCAACTCCATGGCTCTGCGCCTCCACAACACCATGGGGACACAGTACAAGCCATCCGGCAAGCTTACGTTTAACGGAGCTGTTCCGTCTGCTTCCGTGATTCGCTCCGTCTGCTCCTATGTCTGTCAGGACGACGACGCACTCCTCCCCTCGCTTACCGTGCGCGAGACCCTTCGCTTCTCTGCGGGGCTCAGGCTACCTTCGTGGATGAGCAGGGAGGAGAAGTATAGTCGCGCCGAGGACGTGCTCCTCAAGATGGGGTTGAAAGACTGTGCGGACAATCTCGTCGGCAGCGACCTGATCAAAGGCATCTCAGGTGGCGAGAAACGTCGAGTATCTATCGCCGTCCAGCTTTTAAGCGACCCACGCGTTTTATTACTCGACGAGCCGACAAGCGGTCTAGACGCCTTCACCGCCAACTCCATCATGGAGGTGCTTCGGGGATTAGCCATGGAAGGGAGGACACTTATTCTCACCATCCACCAGGCCCGTTCAGACCTATACAAGCATTTCGGCAACGTCTTGCTCCTTGCCCGGGGCGGGATCCCCGCCTACGCGGGCCCAGCTGGCGAGATGATGACCTACTTGAACCGTCTGGGTTTTGACTGCCCGTCTCATACGAACCCTGCAGACTTCGCGCTTGACCTTGTCATGGTGGATCTGCAACAAGCGGACCGCGAGGCCGCGAGTAGAGTGAGGGTGAAGCGGCTGGTGGATGCTTGGGAAGCACATGTACAGGCCGCAATCGCCAGGCAAGAGAGCGGAGCTTCTGGCATTGTTCATGAGTCTCGTTTAACCCCGGTCAAAGAGGCAGACGAAGGGACACCTGGGATGACTTTGACACCAACAATCGACAAACGACAACATCATACAAAGCAACCCATTGTGTCTGATGGAGGCAGTCTTGGTGGTGCCACTGACCCAGCAAAACGTGTTTGTCCACAACACGGGCGTGTCACAACGGAAACATGCCAGTCGCCAAACCGCACGATAGTAGCGACACCAGCAGAGCTTGGCGCGTTAGTGCGTAAGAGGGCACCCTTCACAAGTGCCGCGCCCCTTCTTATTCAGCGAGCCCTCATCAACTTCCGTCGCCAGCCGCCTCTTCTGCTCGCACGTACAATGCAAGTTGTTGGCTTAGGGGTGGTGCTGACGCTGTTCTTCGCGCCGCTTGAGAACGATCTTATTTCGGTTCAAAACCGGATGGGCTTTGTGCAGCAAGTTGGCTCCTTTTACTTCGTCGGCATGCTGCAGAACGTGGCTGTATACCCCGCCGAGCGCGATGTATTCTATCGGGAAGACGACGACGGGGTTTACAGCGTCGAGGCTTTCCTGGCAAGCTATACATTGCTCGAGATCCCGTTCGAAATTATCAGCTGCTTGATCTTTGGCGTCTTGGCCGTTTTGGCCGTCGGCTTTCCACGTACCGCTGAGATGTATTTCGTCAGCGTGTTCTGCTGCTTCGCCATCGTCAGCTGTGGCGAGAGCGTCGGCATCATGTTCAACACCCTATTTAGCCACACCGGCTTTGCTGTCAACCTCACGAGCATCTTCTTATCCCTTGCACAGACGATGGCGGGTATTCTTTCCATCGACATGCCTGGGTTCCTGCAGGCACTCAACCACCTGAGTCCTATTCGATACGCGGCGAGAGCCCTTGCGCCATTCAGTCTTCGTGATGTGACATTCTCGTGCACCGAGTCGCAAAAGCTACCCACGGGAGAGTGCCCGATCCAAACCGGACAAGACGTGCTCGATCTTTATCAGTTAAATGCCAATGCCAGCGTTAATATCGCGGCACTGGCGGGTTGTGCTGTCGCTTATAGGGTTGTTGCTTGGGTTCTTCTGCGGCTGATACGAAGTAGAATCAAAATCTCGAAGTAGCTAGAATCTATCCGTTTTCAGGGTATAATGTATCGAATACAGCGTAACTGTAAAGGGTAAATACCGTATTGACCCAATAATTTTGGGATTCGCACTAATGACTAGGCACCCTGCTAATATAACCTTATTTTAAATTAACTAATAAAATAAAAGAATTTTATAGGGTAGTAAATTATTAATACCTATTTATAGTGTTATAGATTAAGGGTTATCGAGATATATAATTTCTATTCTATTTAGGCTATATAAGGTAGTACGTATTTTTAATATAAGTAGATTAGTACTAATACCGAAATTATTAGGTGTATATAATATAATAAGAATAGTTAGATTAAGAGACCGTTATTCCGACTATAGTATATAGATCTATAAATTCCCCTTTTAGGAATTCTATCTTCTATATATACTATATATATATACGTATATACGGGTATTATTAAACTATATAAAAAACCCGATATTAAAGGATGAAAAAACGATATTACTATAAGCGCTTAGCCGTTATAAGCTAGTTATCTCTATAGTAACTTTTTAGTACCTTTAGCCTTAAACTCTAGGGGACTAAAGAATTAGTAGGCTATACCTTTATAGTTTATATTTATACTATTATTATTATTTATTATACTATTCTCGCTTAGCTAAGCTAAACTAGCCCCCTAGGTAATAGTCCTTCCCTAATTCTCGGGGGAAAACCGTTAATAGATAAAAGCCCCCGGGCTCTTATTATATAAGTAAGTCCTTTATACGCGGCCGCTACGGCATCGCTCCGCGGCCGCCGTCGTACCTTTATTTAATAACCGGATCTTACCTCCGGGCTAATAGCTAACAGGGGTCGGCTAGTTAGTTCTAGGTAGTGCCGTGTCCGGCCGCCTACGCCCCCGGCGCGCGGTTAACGCGGTCCCTCGCCGCCGTCTTTTTCTTTATTCTAAATCCGGCGAGGTCGGTTCCCTTACCACGGCACTCTTTATACCTCTCCTCCCTCTATTCCTTCCCCTACTAGGGGGGGCTATACCTGGCCCCCCTCGCCGTTCCTTCCTTTATTTACTATTTATACATAAGCCGCCTTTACGTGCCTGCTGTTTATAGTGGTTATACGGTATAGTATAGGGCGCCTTCCGCGCTTCTTTATTACGGCTCTTTCTTTAGTAGCCGTGTAGGCGGGTTCCGTGGTCTTATGCCTTCCCCCTTTTATTATTCGTAATCTCCGTGGTAGGCGCGGCGGCGTGAACTACTCGCGGTTACTATTTTTATAGGGCTAATCCGGTATATAGGTGACTCGTAGGGCTAATCCGGCTCCCCCCCTCCTAGTATAAATATCCCTTCTTTTTCCTCCTCTTCTTTTTTTCCTCTTTTCCCTCTTTAAGCTATCGTTATTAAAGGTAAGTCTACGTTCTCGGTACGGTATATCTACGACCCTAGAGTCTTCCTAGTAAGGGCTATCTAGGCGTTAGGTACCCTTCTAAGGTGGTTAGTTTCGGGTGCCTAGGGAAGACTCCGGGCGTAGCGTTCCTATAGGGTCCCTGTATCGCCCCCGCTCCTCCGTCGCCCCTCTTTAATCCCCCTCTCCTTCTAGATACCCCCTAAGAATAGCACCACCCCTAAGAAGAAAGGGGGCGCCGGTGCCGGCGCCTAGAAGGGTAAAGGCCCGGTGGCCCCCTCGCCGTCGACTATAAGTTTTCCCCTCGCCGCTCATGCTACGTCGACGTAGCGCCTACTATACGGCCCTTCTAACTATTACTAGTCCGGTCCTACTAAACGCTTATCCCCCTATATGCCTTATATCGGTTTACTTACTCGAGATTTCCGAGCCCCCCCTATATAAATCCACCTAGTAAGTATCCCCTTCCGCGCCCGCTCCGCGCTCGCTACGCCCCTATATTTATACTAAAAATCAAAATTAAGGGGACTTTTACCCTTTTATTCTACTAGAGATTTCTATTTTCTATAAGCCCCCGTAAGGATACCTATATTATAGTTTAATAGATATACCGCCTTAGCTAAACTCCTTACCTAATAATATCTCTGACCCGGGTCGGCCCGCGAAGGACCTTAATACTAAAAGTTAGACGTGAGTCTAGCCCCGCTTTACCGGATAAGTAAAAGAATAATAGGAGTAATATTATTTTACTAGCGCCGGAGCTCCTACCTATCCTATACCTCCTATATCTTTTTATAATATTAAACTAAAGTTAAGCTTAATAGGGTCTTATTTCCCCGCTAATTCTACTAAGCCTATTCCCTTAGCTATAGTCTTACTAAATAGTAGATAAGGATAGTAGACATCTTATCAATCTATTTATACACGTTACTAATTAGATAATAAGCTATTTAGCTACCTTAAGAGGTTATAACCCTCCCGCTTTCGCGGGAGGCTAGACTTTATCCTAAGCCCTAATAGGGTACGTAGGACGCGTTCCCGCCGGAGCCCACTACTATTTAGTCGTTAAACTACAGCTATATCTAGAGAGGCCCCTAGACTTAGGGCTTAGCTACGAATTATATATTATAGTATCTAACGCGTTTTTACTATACTCTAGGTTATTACCCCGGCCACGGATTACTGTTCGGCGCCCACTTAGTAACGCTAGCTTTAGAAACTTCTCGTAATTTAATAGTATTATAAGGAGCCGGAAAAAGACCCCTCCTTACTAGCAAACGCCTTTTACGCTACTTAACCCTCTTAAAGTAAGTTATACTTACGTATATAGGGCGCGCCTTCCTTATCCTAAACCTAACACATAACCCCGCCCGGCCGGGTAGTATTATAAAAGACCTCCCCGCTATATATAAAGTTCTTTAAACCTCTAACCTTCTTTATACAGATACTTCCCCGCCCGCGCCTTAATTATAATATCGACCTAGGCTAGGCCTACTACTACTATATTACTATAACTAAAAGGAACGACCCTACCTTTTACGAGGTTAACCCTATTACCGGCTACTAGCTCTTCCAAGGCAGTAAAAACACCGACAGCTATAGCTAGGTAAGTAACCCTCCCGTGTGCCCTAATAATATATACTAATATATACCCTAATAGGTATTTACGAAGAAGAATACCGACCTCGCCCGCCGTAGCAGAAACGCCTAAACTACGTTCCTTTTTTATATTATTGCCTTTATCAGGGGCCGCGGCTAAGACCCGTAGGCTAGCTTCTATATTAGCCCCCTATACGATAGGAGGGCCTATTCTAACCCCGACTATATCCTAGACGAGTCGGTATAGATAAATAATAGCTATAAGGGCTACGCTAGGCCTATAGTCTACTAGCACCACGGTTACCTCCTTATCGACCTCTACCCGCACGCCCTAAAATACCTTTACCCCCGAAGAGAGAATACCTAATACTACCTTATAATCCGTAATAGTAGCCCCGGCTAGCGTACCGCCGAAATAAGCTAGGAAAGAAACTACTAAACTATTACCTCGTATACTAGCCAAGCCCGGTTAGTAAATAACTAGCCTAGAGTATAGCCGTCCTAAATACTACGTATATAGGAGAGCTAGTTATCCGATAACTTTAATAATATAGAGGCGTTAAATTAAGCTATACTCGCGGGGGAGCTATAATGGTTTATAGGAAATAGGCCGCCGGATATATACTAGTATACAACTTAGGTTTTACTATTAAGTTATAGTTACTCCCGCTATTTAGCCGCGCTTAGTTAAATTACTTTACTTTAATATTTAAAGCACTAAGCAGAAATTACATTACGTTAACACTACTTTATAGCTATTATAATACTATATTTTAATTAGATAATTAGATTCCCCCTATCCGCGCTAGTTCTAAGTTAGTAATAAAACGCGCGGTAGACGGCCGAAACCTACTAAGAGTATTAGAGCCTAATAGCAGAAAGCCCCCGGCTAATTACCTAGCTAGTAGCCTCCCGCCGCTAAACCGTCTACTCGAGGCCCGATACGCCTAACCCTTAGAGCTAATCCTTATCCCGAAGTTACGGATCTATTTTACCGACTTCTCTTATCTATATTATTCTATTAACTAAAGGTGTCAGCACATAAAATAAGGTACGCAAAAGATGTGTGTGTGTATTGAAGAAGAGTAAAAGATACTCTGCGGAAATGTCTAACTATAAAGTAAAAGGAGGGGAAATTAATATGGATATATCGGTCGGAAGTACCCTATCCGTCTACAGAAATAGCGCAAGTCACACCCCGATAAGGTGGCTATAGGCATCTAACACACCCCCCCAGAACTGCAGAATTAATCCTGACTGTTCTGCTCAATTAAAGCCGTAAATCTAGGGTAAAATAGAGGCCTAGATATTAATCTAACGGTTGAACGGCTTGTTGAAAAGCGCGCTCTTTTTATGCCCAAAAACGTCAAAAACGTATAAAAACAGGTGGTTAAATTAACCCCATAACAACGTCAAAAACGGGTGCCTAAATAATAATCTAAAGGGCACTAAAACAACGGTCAATCTGGGCTACAGATTATAAACTTAGCACCGCGCCTCTTATGAATTGCCTTAAGCCCCCTGGCTTAGGACCTCTATCCCTAACAGATATATAAACGCCTTATATTTCTACGGGGAAAGTACTTTAATTAGCCTATCGCTGACTATCTCTTAGGTCGAGATCTAGGCGATTAGGACCTTCTTCTATTAAACGACCTGTCGGATCTAAAGGGCGTGGATATCTAGATGCTTTAATCTAGATATAACCTAAGGGCGTGGAGCCTTGAATAGGATCCTTATTTAGTCGTTATCGTAGTATATCGTTAGTGGTTCCTCCTTAAAGGTTAAGGTTAGGTCCTTAATTAAACGCCTCGTCGCGATATACTGCCTAGTAGTAGCAGAAAGTGCTATAAGCTCGGCTTTAGTACTAGAGGTTATAACGCTTATTTACTTATTTACCTTCTAGTCCACAGGGCCACTAAATAATAGTATAGTATAGCCCTAGGAGCTATACCGAGTCTCACGGTTATCCCTAAACGCCGCGTCTAAAGCATAGTAAAGTACGTGCTATAGGTAGTTATCACGTGGTCTAAAGTAAAGGCATAGTGACTTAGTTAAGGCTAGGTACTTTAAACACCTGTCTACGGTATCGTGATGCTATTTTAACGGGTTAGTGTTAAACTCGGTAAGCCTCGAAGCAGCTTTCGATACGTTAGGCCGGGTCTAACAGGCCGCGTAATTAATAGAACCGACCTTCCGTAGATATAGGTAGATTAACTCTATAAAGGCTTATTAGTTAGTAGTAAATAGTTCTAAAACGTTAGGAAAAGGAAGAGGGCTTTTAACCCTACGCCTACTATAATCTATCTATAAGGCCTTAATCTTTTCGGTGATATAGTTCTCGAGGGAAAGCTATAGCCGACGTTATTAGCGGTCGCGAACCACTCTAATCCCCAGGAACCACTTAAGTGGGCTAAGATCCCTTACTTAAAAGTGCTGCTATATCCGTTATATAAGAGAATTAGCAGCAGATTAATATTCCTTCCTGTAGATTAGAATAATATTATCCACGTAGAAGAAGACGATTAGTTCTTTACTTTTAAGGACGTAATCGTCTTCGGTTAGTTACTTTAGGTCGTACTTACCTAAAACTAAAAAGAGCTGTTCGTGCTATAGTTTAGGGGAACGCCGAAGACTATATAACGCCCTGTGTAGGCGTTATATACCGCGTGAAGGTAGTCGCGATAGCTTTAAAATAGCCTCGAGGTCCTCGTCGCTCTTCGTGCCTTTTACTGCTTAAAGCAGCGGCTACCCGGGTGGATCCTTAACGTAAATCTCTTCGTTAAGGGTGGTGTTAGTGAAGGCGTTAACGGTATTAAGCTAACGTGTCTCCAGGTTAAAATAGTCAGTAATGGCTATTAACGACCTAAAGGTCCTTCCTGCGAGGGTGGAGGCGTAGGCGTTAAGGTGGTTTTAGGCTATTAATCGCCTCGCACGTATAACCTCGCCTTAAACTTACTAACGTACCTCGACGGGTTAACCTTATACTTAAAGACCCATTTAAGGTCTAAGGCACGTTACCCTCCCTAGGGCAGCTCTGCTGCTTTAAAGGTGCCTATTAACCTAAGTGTATCCACCTCTTATACGGCTGCCCTAAGCTATTACAGCTTATATAGGCTCTTTAATATCTAAGACTAATTTAACGGTTCCTTAGGTATCTCGCGGCGTACTAGCGGCTTTTTCGGCTTTTTAAAGATGAAGTAGGAGACGTAATCGTCGTATCTAGAAGGAGGTCGGCGATTATAAGCAGGCCGCCCTATAGGGGTAGGCGTTAAAGCTAAAGCAGGCGAATAAGATGTTAGTTAATAGGCCTAAATAGCAGTAGTAGTAGTAGGATTAGACTTAGCTGCTAAAGATAGGGTTACTACTTATAGATTAGTTATTTAAGGAGTAGCGGCCGTGGCTATAGCCTCTTTAATAACGGATTAGTTAGGTGATAATAATCCAATTCCGACGGTATCGTCGGTAGCCTCGCCTATAGCCTCCTCTAAGGTAAAGGAAAATCCGCTAGTATTGTCAGATTCCTCTTAATCGCTACGTTTAATTATAGGATCGTTAGGAGGTGGCGAAAAGGGCGTATAAATAGGCCTTAAAGAGGAAGAAGAGGTTATTAAAGAGGGTAAAATTAGTGCTATTCTTAAAGAGGGTGGTAAAATAGTAGTTAAAGAAAAAGAACTAATGGCAGGAATAACGGTAGGCATAACGGTAGAAACCGTGCCTGCCGTAGCCGTGGCAGCCGTTCCATATAATGCCTCTTAGTTAGTAACCTGTTACTTTTCAGAGGCGTTTTCGGTGGTTTTTACGTTAGTAGTGGTTTTTAATCCTTCACCACCACCGCCGGCTACCCCCCTAGATCTTAACGATTAAGGCTATTATTAACGCCTCCTTCCCTCCTATAAAGCCTCTATCGTAGAGTTCTGCTACGTTACTATAGGTATACTGAAATCGACGATATCTATTATAACGCTAAAAGGATCGTGGATTCGCCCTTAATTTAACGGCAGATTAAGCTCTTTATATAGCTCTAAAGGTAGATTAGGCTCCTCTCCCCTATTTTTATAAAGGACTAACTCGTCGAACACGATATCCTTTATACGCAGGATCCTCCCTAATTTTAGCACCTAAATCCGAAAAATATTAGTACCTTCGTAACCGATCAAATAACCGATATATACCCTCGGTACAAGCTTTTCGTTCTTATGCCTTCCCCGTAGGTAGTTAGTAGTTAACGCGTACGCCTTATAACTATACCTCTTTAGGTGCGTAATAAAGGGATTAGTGGTTATAAAGCTA